TGGTTACCCCCCAAAGACGCAAGGCATTATGGGGATGTGAAAGTCGAGAGTTGAATATAAAGGACAGCATTTGTTATGAGACGTTCATATATACTTACTTTCAAAGGCCACCCCATCAGGGGTTGGATGAATAAGATTAAGGGTTATCTGTGGTTCATTGGCGAATCCTCCTTGCATAGGTGAGTCTAGACCAGCCAAGATATTGAGTGGAAGAAATGCTTGCCCCTCGATATCATCATTACTGATCATATCATAATCCAAGGCCCTCAAGGACAAACAAGCCCCTTTCATCCTACATTGTTCTGGCGTAACTGAGCTGAAATATATAAGAAAAGTAAAGGTAACGTTTTTACCGCGGTGAAGAGTACACAGCTAATATGAGGCTCCGCTCAATTTTACGAGCTCTGGGAGGGGAGAGAGATTTTTTTTGTGAATTGTAAGTATAAAAATGTACGACCCTTCCCGACCTGAATTTCTTTACGTGGCCTCCTATAAGCCTTTTCATAGTTTAAGAATTTCTCACCTTCTATTGTCTAAACCTTCTTTTGTTCTTAATTAAACAAAAGGTGAGAAATTCGGGATAAAATCGCATGCGCAGTGTAATCGATTCTTAAACTATGAAAAGTCTTATTGAACAGACTTAATTTGTTTATACATATTTTGGGTGCCCCCCGCAAATACCGTATTTGTTTACGTGCCCACCCCTAATCACACCAGCCCCCCTTCCCCCCTCCCCCATGACCGTAAAAAATAAATATATATATAGTTCCATTATTTATGTCACATGGAAAATTATCTTAAACTGTAACTGAACTTCGAACATCAAGCGCTTAAAGCTCAACAATCCACAATGCATTGCAATCTTTCTAAAATAAACCGACTATAAAACGTATAGGATTCGCAGCCGCACAAGCTGCGGGACAAGTTGCAGGACAAGCTGCGCGACAAGCTGCGGGACAAGCTGCGGGACAAGCTGCGGGACAAGCTGCGGGACAAGCTGCGGGACAAGCTGCGGGACAAGCTGCGGGACAAGCTGCG